TGTCGGAAGGCAAAATTGCAAACGACTCCTGCTGATGGGAAAAATCAATATGGAGTGTGGCTCACTGACCTACAGTAATGTTTCGAGTGCGAATAAGAAGTTGAGCGGAGCACCCAACAAACAATCCCATCCCTTTACTTCGCCACATTCAAATACCACTCACACGACTATGTAAAAGGAGGAAGCGACCCTCATCTCAAGGCAATAGTGAGCCCCCATTAGAGTTACACATCGCTGTTTTCATATACCCAGGAGGGAGGACGGCGACAACATGAATTGGAGACGAGATATGCTCAAAACGGAACATTGGATGCTGATGTGACCTTCTTCTCCCCGAAAAAACTTTCAGTCACTCCAATGGAAATCGAGCAGTGGTGAAAAAATGGTGTAAAATGATTGAATTAGACGTGGCGAGGTTGTAAATTAAAAGAAAACGGTATAATAGGGGAGAGCCACTTGTTGTGATGGAATTCACCCCTCAAATTGGGAAGTACTTTCATCTCGTGATCGACACGGCGAGGCGAGTTCCGAACAGGGGTATGCATTTAAAAAGAAAGGCAAAAGAGAATGAGAGACTGGAGACCGAGCACTCATCAAATATTGATACAGAAACTCATGTTCCTCAAACCCCAGGAGATGTCCGTCTCTCTCCGCTTTTTTTCCTTCCATTTTCCAGCCCACCCTCTTCATCGTCATCTGTTGTCAGATAATGCCATCATTTTTACGTGAATCAAACAGATTTATGGCACTGATAAAAATCTATTTTACTTCCATTTTCCATTATTTCATCATCTCTCCACAGTTCCATGCGACAGAGCCAAGTGAAAGATGACCATTAAGCTGGGGTCATAATAAAAGAGAGACGTGTGTGAGGCTTCCATGGTTGAATGATTGTGGAGAAAGATGATGACATATTATTACTATTTGTCTCTATATTGGATGGCTACGCACATATAAAAGAAACTTTTCTCCATTTTCCCTCATTCTCTCATTCATCGTTTTTTTCTCTACCCCTCGTCTTAGGCCAGGACTCGCTCTTGGCAAATTGACCTCCACTATAATTCTATTTTGCCACACTACAGCGTTAAATTAATTTTGCAAGTGTCATCAAGTGAAATTCAATCCATTGGTCGTGTCCACTTTGGTGCTACCAGTCAGGCTGGGAATATAATTTTCGCGAGAGGAGCTTGTTAAGTGACCAGCATCGCAAGAGTCATTGGTCAAATTAATTAACGACCCAATAAGCATTATGAGGGGCTCAAGAAAAATCTGAATGCACATGTGCACACTCTTCAGCATGTGGAGGTATAGTTTATGGGTGTTGAAAATGCACAGAGAGAGAGAAGAAAGATGGCTGAGAAAATGATGACAAGTTCTGAAAATAACATATCTGATAGCTATAATTTCCTGTAATAAATTCAAATATTTATCTCTATCGTTATTGGTCCTTTCAACAGGCCACAACAACTCCCAAAGCGATGTCTTTTTATACCAATGGCCACATTAATTTATTCTTCACGGCGGCTATACTGAAATATATTCAAAACTTATTGATTCATTTTACGAAAATGTCTTTTGGTTTCATTTTCCACTTAATAAGCGTTATATGTATTTTCTCTGTTTCTGTTTTTCATGGATTATAAACTAGAGGTAATTTATTAACTGGTTTCATTTCTTGAGAAAATCTTCTTCCTTTTTTTCTCTCTCACTATTTTCGAAAATCGGGAATGCTTTCGAGTTCGTTGTTACATTCAACACTTTTTTTTCCTCCAAATACTATACTAAAAGAATTATAGTTTACTCTTATACGACACATTTTACAGTAGGAACTGATTTTGAGATTTAGCAAAGAAGAAGATTATCCAAATTAGTTATAAAGAGACCAAATATTGTACATAAAAGTGCATCGTATTCATCGATAAAAGACAATATGCTAAGTGCTTCTGAGAAAATGTTGCTTTGTTCATATGTATGTGCTATGCTATTGTGGAGATATATGGCAAGAGAATCGCGCGCTTGATCATGGGATCGCCAGTCAAATAACATATTTCCAGCATTAAGTGTGCTCACAAAAAGTAAATGATCGCGTCCTTTAATTATCACGGCCGATATCTTAGCCATGGGTGAGATTCAAGTTCATGGCAAACGACGAGTGACTACATATAGAGCAGCAATCCAATAAATATTCCTCCCTTCGATCGTTGCAATATCCAGCATTCTGCAACAGACACCATCATAATTCACAAAAAGAAGTTATCAAAGTAATAAAATTCTTGGTTGCATTGCAGGCATGCCATAAAAATATGTAATTTTTAAAAACGAGATATGAGAGGGAATCATATTGCCGAAAGATATTCGTGTAAATTAATCTACGGCTCAGAATCACGAAGAGATCACGTCTCATTCGATGCCTTTTATCAATTAAGAGTGAGTGGCTATAGCAGTTTTTACGATCATCATTTTTCTCATGTTTCGTGCGTGCCCTCTTCCAGTGTCGGCTACCGCTTGGGAATACATATCTGAAGATCATCAGCAACATATCAATAGCACCGATTTATATTTAAATGGACATACATACACGTGCATATATATAGCGCTGAACTCAGTGTATTTCAGAGCATGTGAAAATTATTGTCACATGACTGAATGTCATCGATGAGGTGACGACAAGAAATGTATAAGAGGTGCGGCAAAGTGTAGGGAAAAGTGCCAGAAATACTAGAGAATCCTGCGCATACAATAAGTGATATGTGAATATCTCTCTTCGCATTGCCATTGTCTTTTATGAACATTTTCCTTTTGAAAATTGCGAGACACAGCATCAGCAATTGAGCATGTACAAGTGCAAATTTCATATAAAATACTACCATTTTTGCTGATCACCCTTTCGCTATATACAAAGAGATACAGGCGCAATTCAGAAGCAACAGCACACATGCGGCATTGTTAATTTTTTCACACCTCATACCGGATCGCACACCTCTCTGAGTAAGTGTGATTTTCCGCGGAGGACAAAAAGTGCATCCGCAATGTAAGAAGAAATCTCCCTGGCGATGATGCTTATGGTGGGACATAAAAAATTGTTCCGCGATATAAGCCAAACGAAATTGTGTGTTTGCCACTGTGTTGAACACATGTTTCTTTGTACAATATTCTTTGCCGATATTTGAATCCACCTCAGATTGCTCCACATTTTGCACGGGAAAGGGAAAGGATGGCGGCATCTCACTTTATAGATTCATTCTTCAGAATTTCTTATTACTCAAGAAAACCCTTTCTTAGCAAAGAAGTGTTCACATTCTTCTCTAGATAAACCTGATGAAATCTGGGTTTTACCACTTAATAAAATCTAACAGTGATAAGAGTCAAGGTTAAAACCAAGTTTTAATCAACTAAATATTATTGATGATCCTATTTTGAAGAAAATGGCATAGTTAAGAATATTGTAATTTTTATAGAAATGATCAAATAATTTTTTAAAAATAAAATTTATCTCTATATTTTTTAATATATATTTTCTTCTGGTCCGCGGTCTTTGTCTTCCCTTGATCATGTGATGCACTTGAGTGGCTCGTGGAGTTAATTCGATGGAATTGTCACGTCAGACAAATCTTCGAGGTGAATTCTTCCAGCTTATCTCGCGATGCTGGTGGCGAGACGGCGGGAAAAGTCACGCGGATGCGGTGGAAAAGTCTGACGCGAGAATTAATTTAAATCCACATTTTTATGTAAATCGAATTAACACCCTGCTGCAGAAGTTATTTTAATTGTAATTCCCTGGGTGGTTTCTCGCCTCAAACGTCTTGCAGACGCTCATTGTACAGTCCATCTTTTGTGCACTTTTCAACCTTCATCGTGTCTCTCTGGTGACTTCTTGGGCTGCCAAAGACACTCTCTAACTTCTTTTGACTGGAGAGCGCATTGGGGGACACATCCCGCCTCGGTGCTCACGGTGGTATGTGTGAAATAATTGCAATTAATAATCGCTATTTACTCGCACACTCCTCGCACTGCCTCAGTGAGATGTCTCTGCCGAAGATGCTGATGTGTGGTGCCCTCGGTGGGATGAGATGTGAGTTCCTGGGCCCGCGAGTGTGAGGGCTCTGAACCACCTGAGCGATGTGCACATATGGCTGAGGTGCTAGCCATCTTCATCCAAAGAGAGCACTTTGCGAACAATACATAGGCCGCTCGCACACACGCGCAGGTAAGCCGCGAGTACACATTCCCTGACTTTCCAACACTCCTCGCAGCTCTCTTATGTACATCGCCAAGTGTGGAGAGGAGTAAGTTCCCCTGCGAGAACTGGTTGCTATTTCCCCTCACGACGGGCGTCGGAGCGGGGCAACGGTAACGCCCAATGTCTGCACGAAACATCTACGGAAGACCCCACTTTTGGACTTGCTCCGAGCCGTCAGAGGCCGCATCTTGCGCGCTCTTCTTCGGCCTATGCGCCACGGATTGCGTTTCGCGTGCTGCCGTGAGTTTTTGAGAAATTCCCCCAGGCCCGGTGCTCCAAACACCAGAGAGGAACGTCCTCGACGGTGAAAAATCTGTCTGGGTGGTAGTGCTCGTGCTAAGCAGTGTCTCAAACGGACGATTTTCCCGGGCCGTTATTTTTTCATCTCCTTTGTGAATACCCAAAGGCAGAGATAGCCATTTTTCCACTGCACGTCCACGCCGTGGTGGATTCGCCAAGAAAATCCCACCGGACAGTGCCCGGCATAGAAGGAATCTCTCCATCTTCGAGCCACTCTTCGACGACTCACTTACCGACGGAATGTGAAGGAAGCGGTTTCTTCCGATTGCACTTGAGCAATGGGTCGATAGGTGAATTTCAAGATGTATCTTCGTGCTCTCGATTTATAGTGCATTGGACTGTTCCGTACGAAGCATTATTATTATGCACTGTCTCATCTTCCGGAGAAGCCGTTTCAATATCTTATCAACAATCACGTCTTATATCCAGCGAGATTTCGCTATATTAATCGTCTTCAGCAATTGGTGAGATTGTCGTGATTCGGTACACCCTCTGATAAACTAAAGATCAAATGAGTTGCGGGTGCAAAGTGAAATGGTGAAAGAAGGACATTATTGTGACTTGAGATGTGTGAATAGGATTGAGAATTATCTTTACAAGTCGGCCGAGAAAATTCGCAAAAGTGGCCAATAAAGAACAGACTCTGACGATGTCTCGGCGGAAGCAATCCCGTCCAATCCGTGTTCAGGATGGCGAGGAAGAGCCCCCCATAGAAGGCACCACAAAGCTGACCAATGTCTCAGCAGATCCCAAAGACGGCGTCACGGAAAATGGTGAGTGTGGATTTATATCTTCACTATTAACAGTCCTTCTGAAAGTTGACATCTAATATGTATCACTCATATGCAAATAGACACTCATCCATCATCGAAACTTTATCGTGCGGAAAAATGAATATTTATGTGTGGTGGGAAACTATTGAGAACAAATTAAATGTTATTTATTTTAGCGCACGCATTTAACACTCAACAACCAATAAAAGTGTTCACGAAATGTGTGGTGGATCGAGAAGGTTTAGTGAGGTTAAACCACTATATGAGAAAAAAAAATCACACAAGACACTTGGAAACCTGTTTCCGCATTGATGCTCGCATATCGCGCCGCAAACTTCCACTTGTGCGGCAATAAGTCATTTCCCATGTCATACATACACGGTGACCGCGCGTAATGCTTATGGATCGTCTTTCAAGGCTTCACATTAAGTCCTCGCGGTTGTAAATTCAATCCAATGCACGTCTTATCAGTGTACACCTCAAGGTGTGCTCGAGGAGAACGGGGCATCACTTTCGGTGGGCTTTTCACAACTTAGAGGCTATGTGACGCGGCAGGTGAAGTTTCGCCTTGCGGGTGATTGTGTGGAAGGAAAAATTTGGGCGGATAGCGCTAAATTGGATATTGCAGCTGAAAATCTCCTGCCGATTCGTGGGTGAGTCTGTAGTGTGGACAGACGCTTGAGACTCTTGCACGATGAAGGGGTGAAACGAGGGGGGGGTGGAGCGAAAATAAGCTCACAAATTTTCACTATGGGGGGCATTCTGCGCCCAAGAAGCCTATCTTCCATTGATCATGAACACTCCAATATTTACTAATGGCTGGTGTAAACAAGGAGAAATGTGTATTTCTGCCGTTTAATTGATCTCAAATGCGAGGGATAATGGACGGAGCAAGTTATCAGGAGGAGAATTACAGCTTTTCGGTGGGCTTTGGTGCTTTACAATGAAAATTGTTTTTCAATCAATTCACACAATGACCAATAGAGTGAGAGGAGCATATGTATGTTGGGTATCATAATGTAAAAGAGTCAGTTCATTAGAGCGAGTATGAATAGCAAACGATGTGGACAGGGTGAGAGAAAAGGAGTGCAAGTGAGATGGCGAGAGAGAGAGCGACACCGGCGACAGACAGCATTCATGAAGTGAGGACCATAAATTATTCAAATCGTCACCGGGAACTTACTACCGCCTCAATTGACGCGGTGGCAGTTTTTACGCGCGCCGCGATCCGATCTTGTTCTTCCAATCTCATCCAATTACCGAACAAGCTGTCTCAGCAAATAGCCACACAGTCAGTCTTCTGAAGCGCTACAAGTTTCACTATCTCCTTGACTCACTCATCTATTGACTCTTTGCCTATAAACTGCCGTAAATTTTATTGTATGGCATTTTTCTTCGTGCCTTATTAAATAATTAAATTTATATTACATTTGCATTTTGTGGCAATTTTTATTCTACATTAACACTACATCTTCGCCACGATGTGCTCAATCGAAGAGCTTTCCCAGGTAGTGTGAGAGAATGTCCAGAATCCGTATGATAAAAGATCCGTTAGAGAAATTAAAAATTCACTCAGAAACCACTCAAATTTTAATACATAATCGATAAGAGGTGCTTTAAAAGTATAAGTCATAAATTTTTCGTATATTTTACTTTATTTTTTTATCCTCTGCCACTCTTTTTCCCCGCTATCGGCTGGAATGGGTTTATACTCAAAAAATGTCATATTTCATATTAGTGATTTCGTAAATATTCCACAGTTTGACCATTCCACACGTGAGAGGCTGAGAGATGATGATATACCGATAAGAAAATGAAGGAACCTGTTCCATAAAATAGCCATGAGAAGAGCACCTTTAACTGAGAATGAATTAATTTCTCTCGGTATGTGATTCTTATGGGGTTTGCCTAAAAATTTTGTAGGATACCTGCTGAGAATTCGACGCTACTGTATTCTTCCAATTGTCTCTCACATGCTCCTCATCGACCACAAATTATCTCCGGAAACTTAAACCGAGAATGCGTATATTTGGATATTTTGAACAGCGCCTGAAAACACCGAGTAAGGCCAGTAATGTTAAATGATTGAGCAAGTCAGGCATGACCAAAATATCCGACGATTTATAAAGCGTTTATGGTTGTATGTCTGCAAGATCATAATATAGGGAAAAGTGGGGCAAAGTTGAACAGATAATTTGTCATTGCAGTACATGTTTTGTGATGTTGTGCGAGGGAATTTTCTTGCTGTCACGCCCTATATCGTGATTCTATGAAATAGTGAGTTAAATAATTGGCTTATTAATAAAGCCTAATCCTCATCGAAAGTCTTTTCTACTCCCCTCTTTGCCATATTTGCAGGGATTTCCAGGATATTAGATGGAATCCACCCTGCTGTCATAAATAATGTCTGATATTTACCACTGGATACACGAGATTCATCCTTTCTCGCCGCTCTGTGTCACATTTCAATCCATATATGCGACTTATTCTGATTTGGGGTTAATTCGTGACACACCCTCCGTGGCACCCTCGACGCAAATTGCTCGGGTATGAAAGGGTGCAAGAGTTTGGGTGACATGGCTGGAAAATATGCGCAGGGAGATGACATAATAATAAAATTAGATGAATATGCTTCGATGAGTCGCAATATGGAGTCGCTTAATCCATTGGCAGATTAGCCATAGATCTGCGTATATTTTTACCCAACATCACCACGGGTGGTGGGTGGGTCACGCCAGGCACATTTCCTCGACCAGGGACGACGAGAGAGGTGAATGGGGTGATATAAACTGGAAATAGGGATAATTATAGCAATTAAATCCATATGCACACATATGCAAAGAGTCTTCTTGGGCGATATGGGGAGATTTTCTGCCAAAATTACATGCGGATTCTGTGGCGAAATGTGTGGAATAAAGTGAAAATTTATAAATGAAATTAAATTAATAGTACGATTTGCATTTTATGACAATAACGCACCAGTAAGCCAATTCCATGGAACAACAAGCCAGCAGCAGCATAAAATAATTGACACAGCTATAGAGGATCGCGACTCGAATAACAATTAACTTGCTATATGTGAATAATTATATTATTTTTGTACATGGTATTTTAATGCTATAATGTTTGAATTTGACGTGAAGTTGGGAGTGAGACGGAAAAAGAGAGAAAAAAGTCCCCGATATAGTTTAGAGAAAGAGTGTTACAAACAAATTAAATTAATATGAAACTGGCGCACTATTATATTTCCATATCAATTCCCAGAAGGACGTGGGTGGAATTAAAAATGTTCAACCGAGCGAGCTTTGTAAAAAAACAGACACTGAGAAGTGTAGTAAAAAAGGAATTAAAATAATCGTCTGACCAGAAAGTTGGTTAAATTATTTCGCTTGTAACTCCTGAACGGGCATGACATTTTGTAGCACAGAAGCAATCATCATATTGTCGTATCGCCAGTCGATTTTGATATTAATGCGAAATGAACTCAAAGAGCTGCTCAAATTAAATCCAACCCTAAAAATCCGAACAGCTCATTCATATCACCCGACCCGTCCTCCAAGCGGCGCGTCCTCCATGGCAAAAAGTGAATGTAAATATTGAACTGTGCGACCAATTCTGAATTAAATGGAAACTTTGTCAAAGTTATTATCGGAGGGCTGTTTTATTTCGCACCCTTTTCACTGTTCGGCTCAAATAAATGGGAATGCGCGCAACATTGTATTGGGGAAGTGTTATTAAAATTAAATTGTCACTCTCAAAGACACTTCAATCCTCTTCTGGAATTATTACACAATGAGAGGTCTCTATCCGTATATTTCTATTTGTTCACCCTCCAGAAGTTATTAATTAAAATATTTCAAATGGCGCCAAAGTCTTTGTCTCATTTTGCGCTCAAGGGGGTACGAAAAGAACTCACCAAATCAGTTGGTATGTCGAGGAATGAGTTATAGCATTAAGGAGATATTTTATACCTGTATGAAGAAGAAAATTGAAAGAGGTATTTTAATTTAATGGAATGTCGTGGCGACTTGATTCTCTGTCGCCGCAAAATAATTTTACAATCATAATCCATATCGAGGCGGAAACGGGCAATTAAATATCATATTATACCTCAGACCTGAGGCAATAAAAATATACAACTCTGGACTTATTGTCATAAAACAAAAGAGTCGTTTTATTAAATAATTTATCGAAGACATAAATAAACGTGTCTCGTTGACGGGTGTCATAAATAATAAGTCGAAGAGATTTACGCTGCAAAGTCTCATCCAATGTCTTCCTTCTTTCGTCTCATTTTTGTTCTTGCATATTAAATAATTCACCTTGTCTTTTCATCATCAACAAATGTTCCTCGATGAGTATCTCTATGAAGTCTCTTTTTTATCCCACCATTTGGAGGCTTTTCTTGCTGAAGGAACAAATGTTGTCGTCCGAAATGAAAGAAGATCAATACAATCGATAGAGCTCTATCGCTGTATTATCTTGCCGTCTTTTTTCACTTTATAAGAATATGACATGCTTCCTGTCTCATATATATTGACTAACATCACACAAAGCATAGAATACTTGTACACGAGAAATTAAATTAATGTGGTATCATCATGTTTCCTCTCCCAAGCGTGGTAGTCTTTCAAATTACAAAGTGAAATGAAATTGAAAATTTCAGTCCCACTCAATACCATGAGCCATTGCGGATTTTTGTGACTTCGTCGATATTTCATTAGACTAATGCATAGAGCGACATTCAGCATTCTCTCTCAATGGAAAGCTTAATAACAAAAAGAAGGGGTTGACATGATTTCGACGCATCAGAGACTTTCTTATGGCCACATAGACGCTCTATATTCCATTCTTTTCATCCCACAGACACATTATATGAAATGCATGATAGATAGAAAAAAAACGAACGACGAGTCTATAAATCGAATAAAATTTAAGAGAATTGTTCGGTATATTGGGGAATCACCTGAAAGTTTCTTCTTTTTCTTCATGATCAGCAC